TCTTCCAGATAACCAAGCCAGACCTCTTCTATGCTAAATCTTCCATTCACATTTTCCTTCTTGTTTTCAAATAATTAGGAATAAATAGTTAGGAATTTCCAAATCAATGATTTAGCTGTCAGTCTGTAAACTGCTGAATTTCTGGATATTTTTTATTTGCTTGAGACTTTTGTTAGTAAAATATCCAGAAATTCAGCAGTTTACAGACTGATAGCTAAATCATTGATTTGGAAATTCCTAACTATTTATTAAATAGTTAGGAATTTCCAAATCAATGATTTAGCTATCAGTCTGTAAACTGCTGAATTTCTGGATATTTTTTATTTGCTTGAGACTTTTGTTAGTAAATGTAATGATACTCAAACAGTTAAACACTAATAAACTGGCATTGCTGACTGCTTCAGAACATTTGCAAGAAATTTGACCCATGCCCATTTCTTCTAATCTAATTCGTCCTGGTAACAGTTCAAAAACAACAGATTCAAACATTTAAGCAAAATAATAATTTTGAATGTAGCTTTTTCTGATTTGATGAGAAATCACATAACTTACCCCAATTTCAGATTGTCAGTTCAGTATCTAGGAAATAAATGTTTGTTAAAATCTAGAGTACCACAATTATTTCAGGGGAATTTCCACACTATTCCTGAAAGTTTTCTGGGTTTGGGGGGGCGGTTTTCTAGCAGAGTAAATAGGTGCTGTAGGAAGAGATCTAAATATTTCTTGAGCATATGTATGTGTTTTTTTTTAAAAAAAAAAATCCTGTCATTAAAATTTTTAAAACAGTCTAAAAAGAGTGAAATTACATCTTATGGTAAGGCACTGTAGAAGTCAGTTATTTTATTTTATTCACTTATTTTCTGCGTTGTAGAGTATGCTAACAGGGTGAAGGACATATTTGTAAGATGCAAAGACATTATCCATTACCCATTATTTAGATATTCATTATAATTTCAGGAGAAGAAGATAACTTGATTTGGAAAAGATTATTTTTTCCTGTTTAGTTTCAATCAGTTAGTAGAATACAGCTCCTGAGGGTCCAACATGATGCTTTTAGTATCAGTGCATATAGCGTCAGCTCCACTGCCATTCTGGTTTTACTTTTTTAGATTACTTTAATTAAAAAAATGAGTGAGAAACTATCATGTTGTAAAGGTACATCTATATTCCCAACAGTACTTTTGGGACCTACATAAATTTCTGAGGCATTCTTAGAAAATATAATTGTAGATGCAGCTCAGTGCTTTGTTTGGAAGTCTGAACATGTGCCTAAAAAAAACCAAGGGAAGTCATGTATAGAACATCCTGAGAGACTAAAGGAAGTAATAGCGAAGTACCTTACCAGTTTACCTCTTGGTAAAAGTGTGTTTGTCACTGACATGATGCTATAACGTGTTTTCAAATTTCCAGCTTGGGTTCCTTCTAATAATGTTAGTTTATAGGTTCATCTGAGTACTCAGACTGGCTTCTTTGGGGCTTCTGTAATTTTCAAAGAAATCAAAATCTGTATATTTTAAAATGCATAAGTAGCAATTTATTTATTTGTCTATTAATTTATTTTATTTATACGGCCACCCATCTCACAACAGTGACACTGGGCAATGACTCTAGTTGGACTCTAGTTGTTTAGCAAGTTGATGGTGGCTTAGAAGTCACCATCAAGTTTCTTTTCTTACGCACCTTAAGGAGAGAATGTACCATATTCATTTGCAGATGGTTTTACTATTCTGAATTGTCAGGAGATAATAGCAAAGTTGGGCAAAGGACTGTTGGCAATTTTGGTAAAAAGAACATCTATCCCAGAATTCGTGGTTTTCAGGCTACTGGTAACTTAATGAAAACTGAAAAATTATACCCAGGTTTTTAGATATAGGTCTTAATGTGTTATTTTCTTTGTACTGAACTTTTCAAATGATTTAACATTTAACCTTATCTTTTTGAAGTTATTTCCTTGGAAGTCTGGTTTTCCAAGTAATGTCATAATTATTACACAGATCCTGTGTTTGTAATTCCTGTAACATATGGAAAAATGCTATATCCAGTCAGAATGAGTCTCTACAATCTGGTGCTTGTTAGATGTGCTGCTATTATAGTTTCAAATTCAGGGGCAGCAAGGGATCTGTGGTTCTGATATATCTAAGAGGAACCAAATTAGGGAAGTAATATCATAGTATACACTGAAAATAAGAATTAATTCATTAAATTCCTGTTTAAATAATTGAATAAAGGTGTCTCTGCAGAGTTCTTCTATTTTAAATACAGTAAATTCCTTAATATGCACCGCATACCTTAATTTCTGTGCTATGCATTCTCTTATTTTATATGCTAGTTGGCAACTTTTATGGAATCATATGATATCCAATTAAGTGAAAGCATTTTGAAATAGAGGGCTAATCTATGTGACAAGCAGAGGTTTTCTGTATTTTTTTATATGGCACAGTCATGTTTGAGAGAGGTTCAGAGTAACTTTCATGTGACAGATATTTTAGTTTGTGTCATCCCAAAGCATAGTACTTAAAAATCTGCTTAGGTAGTAGCTGCCTTCATAAACTTCAGATGTTTCTATACAAATTTCTTATGAGTTGTAAGGAACCAAGAGACAAGTGGTAGTACCAAAGTCAATATATTAATATTTTGAAGCCATATGCAATGCCTTGTATTGTGCTGCTGATGCTGCCTCCTGCACTTCCAGCTGATTGACAATGTACAGACACATTATGCAGGAAGTGCTACTTTCCATGTTCCACACCTTTAAAATGATTGCTTTGGATTTCATATTAACTATAAGTTTGATAATTGTCAAGGCTGTTCTTTATCTTTGGTATTACTCATTTCCCTTGAAGATATGCAGTGCATTCTTGTTCCCAAAGAGTATAAATGGGATTAGTTCAAGCCTCTTTCAAGGATTTTGTTCTTTAATGGCTAATGAAATTGAGGAATCTGTTCCTTTGCTTCTGCTACAGGTAGGATCTCTGACTATTTCTGTTTAATGCTAATCAGGTAGGGATCTGTATTTTCTGTATACTAGAGCAAAGTACAAAAACTGTAACATGATCCCTTGCCATTTAAAATGCACCTTTCCACAGACTTTACATTCTAGGCATCTGTGAGTAATCTTGTTTGAGCAGTTTCAAATTGCAGCCCGGAACATAGTTTTTAGTTTTTATAAAGTTCTTTTCTCCTATTTATTGTACTTGTGACAGCATTCTATGTTATGAGTTATCGGTGTGAAAATAATTTTACTCATTTATGAAAATTATTTCTGTTACAAAGCAGTCCCAAATGTTCATTTGTAAATGTCTTTTGGATCAAAGTTTTGTTGCATTTTTATTAAACAAGTTTGATCAGGTTTTCTTAAATTACATGCTTATATTTTTCACCAGGGCTGGAAATTTAGAATCACAATTATGACTTTGTTTCGTGTTTGTCGGATCTATATTTTTTTCATACCCTATGATTTTGCTTATTTGGGGACAATAGTATGAAAGTTTGGAAACATTATACCAATATACAGGTCAGGGCATCATATTTTGGAGACTCGTCAAAATATCATAAACACATTACTGCCTCTCTACTTAACCTCCTGTAAGAAAGCACCTTATTGGTTTGTGTATGTCAACCATATTGCAATCTGCATGCTTGCACCTTGTAATGAAAATGCAAAGGGTAAAGTGCATGCAAGAGGTGGAGGAACAAGGGGAGCTAGAGAAGCACTATGGAATTGGTAGCAGAGGATAAAATTAAACCTGTTTTGTTACAGGATTAAAGGCAGTGAGTTTCATCTCAGATTTCTCTGCTTTACATCTCAAAAAACTATTCCATTTAATAGTTATTCAAAAATTGAATGCTGTGCTGACAACTTCACACCAAGACACCGATTCACACGAAAATAAGTAACCAACATCTCAAGATTTTGATGGTCTTTTCCCTTCTAGGACATTTCAGCCACTTACCTGCATAGCTTCAGCAGTGCAGCAGCATTAGATGCTCCCAGATTATTGACTTTTATAATTTACAACACAGGATACGTATAACACATGCAAATACTTATGGATGGGAAATTCTTAATTTCAGAATGACAACAGTGGAAGACGACAACATGAGAGTGGTGACCAGAGATCTAATAATCCTATTCCAGCATCTAATGGGCAGCCACAGCAAAGGCCTCGACAAGTGGTGGAGCAAGATGAGGAGGAGGAGGAAGAGCTGACACTGAAATATGGGGCCAAGCATGTGATCATGCTGTTTGTCCCTGTCACACTATGTATGGTAGTTGTGGTTGCAACCATCAAGTCTGTCAGTTTTTATACGCGCAAGGATGGACAGCTGTATGTAACTTAATTTTTTTCCATAATTGCTTTTTTTCTTGCTCTGATACTGGGTTTTGTTTTTTGTTTTTGTTTTTTTGGTCCTCTGTATTCATCCTTTAACCAATGTTTCAAGATCTAGTTATGGTCAGTACATTTGTTATTTTTTAAAAATAGTCATTACCAGTCATCGTCAACCTTGGTTGGTTTTCCCAGAAATCCCTTTTCCTCTAGCTCCTCAGAATTGAAAAAACAATTGGGAAGAGGTAGTTTTGGAAAAGAAAGATTCAAGCATCCTCTTCTTTCTTACCAGTTCTCCATTTTAAATAACTCTCCTGATTCTTTATGTTTCTTTGAATGGTTACATGTAGTTATGGATTAGCATGGGGTATCTTCATTCATGGATTGGATGTTGGGTGGATCCTTCTAAATTCCCTCTACCAATTGAAAGCTTCCATTAATAGAAATGGGGGATCATCTTTCCCTTGCACCTCTCAAATCTATTCCAGAGAGCTCCCTTAATCCTTCCTAGCAGATGGGGTTTCATAAATGCCCCTTTTCCCCATTTTGCTAATAGAAGCCTCCTGTCAGTGGAAGCACATTTGTTTGATTTCACCTGTTGTATTCTCATGTAAAGTCAATTTATGCCTTTCTCTTTTAAGAATTTAGATGTTTAAAAAATTAAATGGTTATTACCTTTATTCTCTACCTCTTTAATGTTTAAACATCACGGCAGGTCCTTGATCTAAATTAAAATACACCCCATCATCCAACTTGCATTCTTCTAGAGTTTAGGAGTGGATGAATGTGGCAAATGTAGTTCACTGTAAGTGCTAACTAATGCATGGTCCCACAAAAAATATTTTTCATGTGCATTAATGGAATCTGAGTTGAAAGATCTGATCAGGAAAGGATCTTGGATAGCTCAGTGAAAATGATAACCCACCACATACATGTTATAGAAATCATAGATGCCATGTTTTGGATTCATTAAGAAGGGAACTGTTAATAAAACTGGATGGATGGATGGATGGATGGATGGATGGATGGATGGATGGATGGATGGAAAGTGTGCATGTGTGGACATAGATATAATATGAAATGTAGACAGAAATGTATGACTCCCTCTTTCACAATATGACATTACATTACCTAGAGAATTTTATTGTATTGGGTCGGGTTTGGCTTACTCAGCAGAATATGTCTTGTGTTTTATGTGACAAGAGTTACAGTACGTTTTTATTCAGCTTATTCTGGTGCTGTGCTTTTGACTTTGTTGGCAGCTTAAAATAAAGGAGTAGCTATGTGCTTGCTATTCATTTCATAGCCACTAGATGGTGCATGCAAGAAGGCAATTTTAAATTAGATTTTTAGAAAGTGTTCCATATTTGTTGAATTCTTTTCAGATGAATTTACATTTTCAGAAAATGTATCAGGGCTTAAAAGCATATTTTATTTTGCTCTGTATTGCATTGTAGGATCTATACTCCGTTTACAGAAGATACAGAAACAGTTGGACAAAGAGCTCTGAATTCTGTTCTCAATGCTGCCATCATGATTAGTGTCATTGTTGTCATGACTGTACTCCTGGTTGTGCTTTATAAATACAGGTGCTATAAGGTGAGCTCAGAATTACTTATTTTCATTCAAACCCCCAAAGAGGTTCTTCCATTTATTTATAATACTATTCCTAGACCTTACTCTTTTCCAGTGCATAAAGGACCAGAATAGTTGTTAAATCTATGTTTCAGCTGAAGACTAGCTATGAAACAACAGAATGGGACAAAAAGAGTAATAACATACTTTTGTATTTTACAAAAGAAATTTGTAATGATGACCATCAGAAATTGGCAGTTAGATATTATAGATCTTATTAAAAACTATTTGGAAAGGGAGGAGATCCTGAAATAAATTAAAATGACTATTAACTGAACCTGATTATTGAAATGTGTTCAGAGAACTAACTATTGACTTATGTTGGGTGACTCCTTTAATTTCATATGTTTCTGCATATTTGTTTTGCTCAAAAGACCTTTATTCTGTTGTATGATCTGCCAATTAATGTAAACAATTCAGGTTTTCCTGACAAAAGTAAAACATTTTGCGTTATAAATTGAGAACGTTTTTTAGTTTGATTTTAGTGGGTGAGTGGAATCTGGTGCAACAAATCAGTTAATGTGTACAGAATTGTCAAATGTAGTATGGTAAACCAAATTCTGGAGATATACCTTTATGTACTATTAAGTAATTCTTTTTGCAAGTTTCATTTAGAAACATGTATAGGCTGGTTGTGTTAGAGAACAATTTGATTTATTGAATGGTACAATATATGTGACAGGTTTAAATTATTATAGTCCCTCTGAATTATCTGTGATTTTTTTTGCACTGAAATTTCAACCATATGTCTCTTCATTTAAATATTGATTAAATAGCACTATTCTGATAACCACACAGGTTAAAACACTGTACTTTAGATGCCAAAGAATACTGCCGGTTCTGGATCATGCATTCTTTTCAAATCCGATGCATTTTTAATTCTCAGTTATTGTGAAAGTGAAATTAAAACAGTCAAGCAATAGTTGCCAGGATCCAAAAATCCCCCTTCGTGATCAGATGGCAGATAAGTAGAGAGCATTATGTACACATTCCACAATGTACACTACTTGACTGCATCCCTTAGTCCTTAAAAACAGGACTTAAAAAAGGGCTTAAGACAGAAAGAGACTCACAAAAATCCTTAGTATCTTGGTGGGTCTCTGCATACAGCCTTTGGGATTTCATAAAAAAAATGCTGTATTAGCATGTTCTAAAGTTTCAAATAATCATTTTTGAAATGATTAATGCTAAGTCTGAAAATGAAATCTTGTGTTTGTGTTTCAGGTGATCCATGGTTGGCTTATTGTTTCTTCCCTCTTTTTGCTTTTCTTTTTCTCATTTATTTACTTAGGGTAAGTATACAAAAGTTTTGCTATTTAGATTTGTCAAAATGGAGGAAATAGTCTCAAGTTTTTGAATATTTAGTGTCCTTAAATCCTAGCTGCTATATTCAAATTTACATATAGGGATTAAACTTAACAATAGCAAAAGTTTATGATTCAAAGCTTTGTATCATTTTATAAAAATATGTGACCATTTGGATTTCAAGGAAACAGAGCCACATATAGATCTTCTGTTTTCTTAAAAAACATATATATCATTTCTGACAGTACAACAATGCCTCATTTCATTGGGGACCGAGATGTCCATTATTTGTGAACGTCATTTAAATACATCAGTACATCATTTGTGTGATGACTTCATTATGCAAATAATGCAGATTGATGCAAATAACATAATTTGTCATTTGTCCAATCACATATGGCATAAACAAAGGTATGTTTATAAAGTCCAATGTATTGAGGTCTAGTAAACTAAGATTTCATTTGTACAGTGAAAGCAAAACAGTGCTGTAATCAGTGTTCCTGTACAAGAACACTTCTCATCTTGTTTAAATCCTAGTTGGTTCTAGTTTCATACCTGCTCTAATATTAGTGCAGATGATTTTGCATAGAAAGATCAAAGGTTTATGGTTATCTTTGAATGAGAGAGAGAGAGAGAGTTCTTATCCACATGGGATACTTGTACACCATGCTAAGGTCTGCATAGTTAGTCCATAGCTCATTCCTCTAAAACAGTGCTTAGCAACAGGACTTTCTCCCCAATTTTCAGTGCAAATGGGCAAATGAAAGCACATTACAAGCAAACAGACTGATATCAGATTAGTTGTTACCAAAATGATAAATGTGTAGAAACCATTCCTCCCACCCCAAAAGGAGGGCTTTTAGTCCTTTACATGAACAGGCAGGAGCAAGAGAAGCAAAGGTTTGAATCTTGATTTCACTCTAAATACAACTTGCATTTGATACACAGGAGTTGCCAAAAGTCTTTTGTAAGGACTTCCATTAACTTTGCTACAATAAATCTATTTATTAGATCTTTAGAGCCCTTAGAAGTCTATTTTTGTAGCTTCTTGGCTGGTTGAGAGAACTCTGTCATTTTATCTAAGACAGGTTAATACAATGATTGTTATGACAAAATGCTCTGCTGGTTGAAGAAGCTTAAGGCTTGCCTTTTTGGGAAAAACTTTAAACTCCACAACTGCTGTACACAAGGAATTGTTTTTTGAAATTCCTCTTTAATAGATTGAAAAAATATCTTTGGCAACGATTGGATTATATGATAATTCTTTTAAATCTATTAAAAATCTAATTTTGGCTACCATTACAATTTTTAAGTTTACATGTGCCCCATATTGATTTATTTTTGTTTGATGCTGTGCAGTCATTTTATTTTCTGTTGAATCATCTGTATCTCTGGATTTTGTAACACAATCTGATCTGGCATTGAAATAGTTGTTAACTTTATCTGAATATTACAATTTGTTCACTACATACCATTATCAGAATCACAAATACCTCTTATCTTTTGTGTGTGTGTTTTAGGGAAGTTTTTAAGACCTATAACGTTGCCATGGATTACATTACTGTAGCACTCATGATTTGGAACTTTGGTGTGGTAGGAATGATCTGCATTCACTGGAAAGGCCCCCTCCGTCTTCAGCAAGCCTATCTCATTATGATAAGTGCTCTAATGGCCTTGGTATTTATTAAATATCTTCCTGAATGGACTGCTTGGCTCATCTTGGCAGTAATCTCAGTGTATGGTAAGATTCCGCTATCTCCACTTCAATTTTGAGTAAAAGCCCTCAAAAACCCTTTAAAAAAATTAATTGGTATTCTTTTGATGTTTGGGATGTTTGATTATTTTGATGTTTGGGAAGTCATAAATCTGTGTAGTACCTTGAATAAGATTGCAGTGGGGAGCTGTCATAATATGGGTACGTGGTTTCTTTCAATCCCATGTAAAAGCTTTTGCTGTAGGAGAGGGATTTGGTGTGAAATCAGACAGAAGTTACATGGGGAGATACATGTAATTCCCTACAGTGGAAGACAGGATTGCCTTTCAGTTATTTTGACTACAACTTTCACAGACGCTTGCCACTGGCTAAAACTTACTAGCTATTAATGATCCAGTATCAGGTGTATTCCCCCATTGCTCTTTGGGATGACCAAATACGAGAGTAGAACCTGGTCTGAAGCAGGTTTAATGATCCTTTGAGGAATAAGACTGGGATCTTTTCTAATAAAGGCTATGTCAGTTGAGATATGCAGTATGAATCCATTCATTGTCAAGTTTAGAAATCTGTCACAGATGCTGCAACTATGGTAAGCAGGGCATATGACTCTGGCACTTTCTTGTTCTCAGGCAGATATTGCAAGAATGATGCCACCTTTTCCCAAAGGAAACTTTACTAGCAACTGAGGCATACCTCCCAGTTTATATTCTGGAAAAGGAGAGCAGAAGAATATGAGTGATATCCCATAGAATCCAATTTACAGCCTGACTTATCCATTAATAGTGTGTGGATCCATGGGGTAGATTGACCTTCCATTGCCTTAACCAAAAGTGAATTAGGTGCTAGGTATTGGAATAAAAATTGACACCCATCCTTCTGTAACCTATATTGTCTCCCTCTCCTTTGAAATGAGAAGAATGGAGGCTGGTTTCTGACAATCTCTGTTTGAACTAGTCAGTTAAGCCTCTTTCATTCCAGCCAATATCCTGAGTTAGCAGCTGAAACTCGGCACCATACTCCAACACCAAACACTTACCCTATCAAAGGCAACTAATTTCGTAATTAACAGTCACTTACATGACCAGATCCATGAAGTTAACTCTCTGGCATGTCACAACATTTATGTAGTTGTCCAAATCCAAGCTGGCTTCTATTGGAAGGGAGGGGGTTGCCCACCTTATAGCTCAGTCAGTAATTAGCCTAATTATAAATCCTCTGCAGATTCTGTAAGGTGTCATGGAGTTGCATAGTTATGGTGACCATATGTCATTTATTATAAAGGACAGTCCTTTATTTCAGAAACTTGTCCTTTAAATTTATTTATTTTTCAAAAACTCACTTTTGTCCTTTATTTTGGTCATTTAACTCTACACTTAATGCACAGTCTGATTACAGAAACCCTTTTTAATGCTTTGTTACACACACTGCTCCCAGGTTCGGCTTATGGTCACTCACTCACACACTCACAGCCTGTTGAGGCACGCGGATCTTGTCAGCCCCCCTTGCTTTCTACCTGGGTTTTCCAGATAGGTGCAGCTGGAGCAGACAGACATACAGCCCTGGTCAACAGCCGGGAAATAATTAGGGATACACACAGATCACTTCCAACTGAACACTGGGGCACAAGAGGTTCTTTGTAATACACGGAGACCCAGTGAATTTAAAGTAACAGCAAAACTTTACTGGTTGCAAGGTACATTTGCTCTTCCTCATACACACACACACTTACCCACGTCCTTCCCAACTAGGCTGCCAGGCACTAGCTAGAGGGACGGAAGCTGCCAAGTCTGGATGACTCAGATGACCAAGACGCTTTGGGACCCCTTTAATCCCCAAAAGTACAAGTTGATGGGATTGGGGTGAGGGCTTCCATATGCTCAGGCCCAACTTTTTTTCTGGTTTAGGTCCTTTGTTTTTTTCCTTAACGACTGGCTTCCTTCTTATCTATCTCCACGAAGGGATCCCATAGATAAGTTTCCTGGCTTTTGTCCTCTCTGCTTACATTCCTGCTTCATCTTTAGGTTATGGCAGCTTCAGCCTAGTCTCACAGCTTGCTTCTTATAACTTCATAGCTTTTTATGTTTTTTAGATCATTTTATTAGAGTTTCGTTTTTTAAAAGTGTTGGTTTTGCTCTTGAATTTTCTTTTGTAAAACAAAGTTATAAACATAAACTTTTTTTTTTATCCTTATGAACCTTTTTCAGATTTGCTCCTTTTTCAGGTTTGTCCTTTATTTTTTCCAAGAATATATGGTCACCATATCTATAGTTCACATACAGCAAAAAAGGCAGTAAATTTGCTTGGGTTTCCATTGTATTTGTCTAATATGGAAGCAGGTACTTGGCATTAGATACCTGGGCCCTTGTTGTGAGTGGCCTATCTATGGTGGTTGATTCTGTCCCATGTTCTGTACAAATAAGATTAGAAAGTAATGTCATTTTATTTCACATTGGGGAAGCATTGGAGAGATTCTCAGAAGTAGGTTTCTCTGAATTCTAGCTGTTTCATTATTGCAAGTTATGCTTTGGTACTGAAGTGTTGGGCTGGTAGGGTTACAATGCCAAGAAACAGAGAATGTGTGCTCCAGATGGCTTTTGGGTGACATATAGATACATCAGATATCAGCACTGTCAGCAGCACAGTGATGGAGAAGGGGCAGCTGGTAAAACTGAAGTAGGTTTTGTGGTAGTGCCCAGCTTACAAACTGGTTGTCAGAGACATCATAAATGGGTTCTTGTTGACAGTGAAAGACATGGGGAAAACAAGGTATTGGTGGTATGAGCCCTGATCCTCTCATCTATAATACAGACCACAAGGTCAATGTTGATTCTCATTCAGAAGTTTATCCCTGTTGGTCTCCCTCTAGTCAGTAGGGTCTCAGTCTCAACCCCTTGAAAAAAGATACTGAGAGTTGACATCATGTCAAGAATAATGACATGACCCTTAAGAGGAACGGACCTTCAGTAAAACCCTATATATTGGAGAGTGTCGATCTTATTGGCCCTGCAGAGGACAGTGATTGAGGACGTCGTGATAAAATATTCTGTTGCTCTGTATATTGAAGAGTGTACAGTTTTGCATTTCGCTTTCTCAAATTGAACCTGAAGCTGCATGGTTAACAAATAGATCCTCATTTGATTGATCTCTGCCTTGGGATTATTTTGCTATTGTTTTATGCTGGTCATTGACCAAATTAAAGGAACTTACTTGATTGCTGGAGTGTGATGTCAGTCCAAATAGAATAGGCAAAAGCAGTTGTATCATCTAGGAACATGTTTAGTTAAAGTGTACTTTCTGCCAAGCTTCCCTGAGCTGTAGAGGTTCCTGATCAGTTTTCAGTGCAGGTGTAAAACACGTGGGAGAGAGATACTGTTGACTGGATTACTGCCATTAGAGATGGGACTTGTTATGACTGTGGCAATTTTATAGAGGTGTGGAAACAAATTGTGCTTATTACATATCATGTTTTTGAGCACATGCTCCCTTTTACCACATATATGTTAATGATATTCTTTATAGAAAGGAGAATTTATTGAGATGTCACCTGTTAACCTACAGCAGAATCCTGGTTTGCTTATTTTTATTTTAGTAAGAGCATTCAGTCATTCTATTTAATTTAAAAAGTATCTAGTATTAAAAGATGAGAGAGTTATCTACAGTGTCCCTCTTTGATTCAGTTATTACCTGAAAATTCCTTTTCCCTGGAAATTCCACTTCAATCAGAAGTTAATAGAAATCTTGGCATTCTCTCCTTCCCTCCCACAACTTTCTGCCTCCCATCTTGGCACATAGCTCCTTGCTCCTTTTCTCCAGGAGTATTCTCTACAGTCTTTTCAAGATAAAATGTTTCCTCTCCAGAGAGAGGTTTGGTTAATTGGACTTTGCATACAATCCAGGGCACGTGATTCCCCTTCAAGCAGCTGCAGATTCCATGTCTGAGATGAGTGAATGTTGATGTGGGCTGAGAGCTGATACGCCAATTCAGTGCATATGATTACAAAGCATAGTAGCTATACATCATCATCAAGGGCCACATACTGTTACTCCATGTGTTTTTGGGGTTCTGATATGCATTTGGTTGATCAGTGTGGAAAATTAGCCAGCTAAGTGTTAAATTGCTCTCATCTTTAAAAAAAAAAAAAAAGCCCTCTCAACTCTAATCTTGATGGGAATTGAGATATTGCTGCAATACTGGCTTGTAAAAGGAAACATTTACAGCATCAAAATACTCAAATAAGCAAAATTCTAATTTAATTAGAATTAAAGATTGCAATCCAATTGGTTAGATTAAACAAAAGCCCTTTTAATGTGTGTTCATTGTTTTCCCGCTTACCAGCATCATAGTAATAAAAATAAACAAAATAATAAAGGAAGATATTGCTTATACTCTTTTATGATTTAAATTTTTTAAGTACTGAAGACTTCACAGTGCAAAACAGCTCTAGTTTTTGAAGTTTTCTTTCTCTCTCACACACACTCACATTTTGATTTTCAAGTGGGAACAGGCAGTTTGGCAACATTTTGAGATATGTAGACAAACAAGTTTGAAATACCATATACTTTTCCCCAAGTTGTGTATGCGTAAGGAATCCAAATGACCTTGTAAAACATTCTTCTTCTGTATAAGTTCAGAAACAAGGGCTAGCCACAAAAATACATATATCACATGTCATCCAATTACAGTGATTTAAAATACTATACTCTTTTCAAATTCCTTACCATCATTGAAATAAAGTTCTTAAACATAGTACATTTAGGAAATTTACTATTAACTTCTACAGCGAGAACAATTGCCAAGTCACGTGACAACTGAATCTGTGTAAGCCTTAAAGGGAAGAAATTGGGTTTGGCAAGGGAGGTATTTTTTCAAACTGTTGGAACCCAGGAATTTCAAACTATTAAATTTTTCCTGATTATGAAAATGAAGTAATGACATTTAATATATGTCCATGCCTAATAAGATGATGTGACTCTATAGATGGGTACTATTTCTTTGAAATAAAATAAAAACTAGAGCATAAAATCCCATTTTAATTTGTAGTATTTGAGTAAAACTTAAGGCACACCCAGGTGTTCACATGGGTTTTCAAGCCTGCAAGAAACTGCAGCAGCTTTGGGTGAGGCAGGGCAGGAATGGATTCAACCCCAGAGGCCCCACTGAAATGGAGGGTTGCCATGATTCACTAACTCCCTTATGGACCTATCTTGCCTTGTTGATTAGCCAGGGAAGTCTGAGCACCTTGTATCCATAGAGTTTGGTGGAGGATGATAGAATTGGAAAATTGTTTTAGAAGAGTAATTGTGCCATATTTTTCAGACAAGGAAAGCTTGTTCTTATCTTCACAATAATGAGAGCTATATAAATGTGATTGCTACAATTGGGCTTAAAATCATGAGGGGCGAGCTAGCACGATCCTTGCACATGCGTGATTTAAAAAAGAAAAACTGATGTGTAGAAAACATTTCTCCTTCCCAAAAAGGAAAAGGGATGATGGATGGATGTGTGCTGTTTATATATCTCCCGTGAATGTCAACTAGCAGGATATAGGCACAGTTACAAATGTGTTGGTATGTGTATATGCATAAGTGAGATATATAGGTTGAGGATGATTTCAATCAGATTAGAGTAGGTGGACTGTTTCATAAAGTCATGCCTAATGCACTACAAAATATTACATGGCACCTTGAATTTGGATCCAGAAGGGCATGCTGGAGGAGGAGGTGTAAAGCTTCCCTCCCTGTTCAGTTGATAGAAGTCTCTGGTAGACTAAAAAAAAAAAAGTATCCCATGAGAAGGATATCAATTGGATATCATGCTTTAATTATAAAAGCAAATATGGAATTCAGACAAATAAGAACATCTTAGAGGCTAGAGTATCCAAAGAGGAATGGGAGAACCATTATACTAGATTGTTTGCTTCCTATCCCACTCCAGTTAATTCTCCAATTAATCTAAAACTTTGTGAGGCTACACCCTGGCTCCCTGGCTCTTTAAATATTGAATATCTGATCTAGGCATTGCCATCAGGCAAAAGCCCCTGGAGAAGACAATATCCCTGGTGATTTATTAAAAGCTAATATCGTCTGGTGAAAGCCTATCTTGGCTAAACTCTTTAATTACATTAATTCCCCTGGCCAACTTCCCCAGGGTTGGAATACATACACAGTGATCTCAATATACAAAAATGGTGATCGTAGCTACCCAGAGAACCATAGACTGATTAGTCTGATAAACATCACAGGTAGAATTTATGCGAAACATCTAGCTAATAAATTAGAGGACTGGGTCATCAGTAACAATGTGCTTGCAGAGGAACAGGCAGGGTTTAGAGTAGGATATTCAACAATTGATCATGGTTTTGCATTGGAACATCTGATAAATAGTATGTACAACACACCCATAGGAAACTATATGTTGCCTTTGTGGATTTTCATGCAGCTCCTCATCCTGTTGATAGAAACTATGGATTAAGTTAGTTCAGTTAAATTTGGGTAGAAGGTTATTAATTTTGACAAATACTCAAATTCAGATTAGGTTCACCCCAGTAATAGCAAGACTTTTAAAGGGGTGAAACAAGGATGTGTGCTCGCACCTTTACTATTTAATCTATTTATTAAAGATATTGTTCCAGCCCTGAGTGGAGAAAATTTTTTTCTCCAAAGGTGGGAAATAGGAACTTGTCCATATTACTTTATGCAGATGATTTATTGCTTATATACCATTCTCAGATAGGTTTGCAGAGAAAGTTAAGAGCTTTGGATAGCTATTGCCCCTTAAATTGTCTAACTCTGAATGCGGAAAAATCAAAGGTGATGGTATTTGGGGAGAAAAGGAAAAGACACAAATGGAGAATTGGGGAACATAATATAGAGCAAGTTGTCTCTTACAGATACTTGGGCATCCTTTTTAATTCTCCAGGCAGTTGGCGCTCTCGCTATCAGGCCCAAAAAATAAAAAATGAGAAAGCTTTGGCAGGAATAATAAAGTTCTGGCCTACAAGTGGTGGCTGACAAATTCCTCCAATCCTAACTCTTCTTAAAACCAAGTTAGTTCCTTACTTTTCATGTGTAATAGAGTTATGAAGAATTTCTACCCATTATGATATGGAATTCTTTCAAAACAAGCTCCTCAGAACTACTTTAAGTGTACCTAATGGTACTCCTGTCCCCTTTCCCTATGTAGAAACTGGTACCTACCCAATTCAAGCTAGAATAATTGTAAGGGCATTTAATTATTGGGCTAGACTCCTTTCACTACCTGATCCCCTTGTCAAGCGGTGCCTCCTGGAGCAAATGAATTTCTCCACTCCTTGCACCAGTTGATTTTTATCCAATCATATGCATACCTTTGATTTTTCTCTGGAATTCTTTTTAAATTCAAATAATGCAAACAATCTATTATTTAAAAACAGGGTGCTGAATATCTTTGCCCAAAGAAATTTGTTTAAATTATCACAAAATAAAATTGCCCCTTGGCATGCACTTAATAAAGCCAAAATCGAATGCGAACATTATCTGAGGTGTATTACAGTGCCATCCTTCCAAGAGGCACTTACAAGACTATGGTTCCAGAAAATGCCATCAGCAACTAGAGAGGGCCGATTTCTCAATCTCTCATATAATATGCACTTCTGCCCTTGATCCAAGGAAATTATAGATTTTACCCATTATTTATTGTATTGCCCTATTTCTGCTTCAGCATGTGGAAAATTTCCGGAGCCCCTCTTGGTAAAAGCATTTTGGCTTGATTCATATAAAATGGAATATTTAATGAATTTAGACAAGGAGACACTGCTATGGAAATTAGCAAGCTTTACATGGGCTGCTGCTAAAACAGAATATTTTATCAAAAGTTCCTAATGTTGTCTAATATTTTACCTGCTATAATAACACTGTTTTAATGTTTTTACTGATTTTTGTACATTCTAATGTATTTTATTAATGTTTGGTCACTTTTGTGCAGGTATTATCTTAAAGTCAAAAAAATAAATTGATTGATTGATATGGAATTCAGACAGGCTATTTTCTTCTTCCACATCCTTTATTTACTTTTCTGAATGTCACTGTGCTAAGTCTCCTCCCAATTTTTACACAGTCTTGTTTTTATTTTTATTTTTGTCTTTTTTCAGTGGTTTGGTTTTTATCCCCATCCTGGTGGCACAATGGCAATGAATTCAGGATTAAGAGTAGTAATAATAGTGTTTCTGAATCAAGAACTTCCTTGTAGCATGTATGGCTCTCTTTGTAACTTTTTAATTCATTAAATCTTCTAAAAATGTGTGACATATCAGAGGTTGGGCCACTAAATGGATTGAACCGTATGACATTTTTCTGTTACACTTTTATTAGTATACAAAATATTTTATAAAAGTCCCACCAAGTAGTGTAATTTATTACATTCATATTACTAATTATTTCTTTTTGAACCACAGAGGAGCCATTTCTTCAGTTTTTTTTAAATCTCAATATCTGTCTTTCAGATCTGATTGCAGTATTATCTCCCAAAGGGCCTCTTCGTATGCTAGTAGAAACAGCTCAAGAAAGAAATGAAACTTTGTTCCCGGCGCTCATTTACTCATGTAAGAACTGAGATTATGTGATGCCTGCTTCTGAACTGTGGGGGAAAAAAATTATCGAAGTTTCTATTAAAATATGAAAAGTTAGATGCACCACTGTATGTCATATTTCCCTTTCCTAAGGAAACAGATTTTTGTCTGCTGTGTGCTTCAAAGTTGAAACCTGGGCTGGGTAAGATGCTCCAGTTAGTAGATTCCCTTTGACTACAATAGCAACAATGAGATACAGCAAAAAGCTGATGCTTAAATATAACAAACTAATTATACATTTTTCCATTGTGGTGGACTTGCAGTTAAGCAGTAGTTCCCCAATATACTGTACTTTTAAAGATTTACTATTGAAAATATCCTACATGATCCAAAATAGTTTGACTATTTCAGGGTTTTTGATGGGTTTTATGGTACAGTGTATCAACTGATCCTTCAGTGCAGTTTTATCATACTTTGCAATTACATATGAATATGGCACAGATGTTGCCACGATAGAACTATAAGATAAAAAAAGAGTACCTGTTTAGTTGGGTGCGTGCTTTTAAGAAGATCTTATTTCAGTGTATAATTTCTATTGGGTCTGCTGTCATTTCAGTTCATTATGCATCTATGCTAATAAAATTAAAAAATACTGTTTTACAAAGTTATACTGCAGTGCTTATTTCTCAGGCAGAATGTGTTCAATTGTTATTAAGATTGTCTTTTGATTCAATTACAGTGGGTACAAATAGAGAAAAGAAGGGGTTTTTTTTGCTGTTTTCTTCCATTTTAACAACTTCTTAGATCAGTGTTTCTCAACCTCAGCCTCTTTAAGATGGGTGGACTTCAACCCCCAGAATTCCCCAACCAGCATGGCTTGCTGGAGAATTCTGGGAATTGAAGTCCACCCATCTTAAAGTGGCTGAGGTTGAGAAACACTGGCTTAGATGAATTCATTACAAAGGTCACTGCAGTCTTCTGTTTGTGTGCAACACAGTGGAATGTTGCAAAAATACTTAAAATGTATATATAATAATGTGCAGTTAAATAGTGTATAGCATCAGTGAATCAGAGGTCATTCTTCTTTTTCCATTAGCAACAATGATATGGCTAGTAAATATGGCTGAAGAAGATCCTGAAGCCCAGAAGAGAGCTTCCAAAGATGCCACTTACAGTCAGCAAGGTGAGGTTTATTTATCTTTGTGAAATCATGTAAGAAATGCAGAATAAGAATTGTCAAGCAGTTTCATATTAGCTCTCTTACCTTTAGAGAAGGGCTTCACTATTCAGATACTGCAATCATGTTCATCAATGAAAAATAACAGTGTGCACTGACTTGAAGCCCTCTTTGCCTGAAAATTATTTACTTTTCATTTGTCCTGAGATAGTTTTACCTCCACGCATCTCCAAGAGTCCTTATAGCAAGTGAGGGGAGGGAATTCTGCAAGGATTGGCTGGGGTCTTTTGTTCTACCAACCTTAGGACTCAGTTTTAACAACATAGCTTCTAACTTTACACCTCAACTCCTTTTTAAAAGAAATCTGCAGAGAAGGCTTCCATTTAGTAAACTCTTTTTTTACAAATCTGAAGGAAGAATAGGGAGAAAAATCTGCTACATGTTTTAAACATGAAAAATGTTTAGCTGAGTATAATAAACACATTTCTAACTAGGTAGCAAGCATGAAAGAAAAATATGGATTTGTTCTAAGCTAATATCTGGCTAGGAAGAAGATGCAAAACACTTTACAGGTAGTCCTTGGTTAACAACAGTTGCCAAGTGCCTGAATCGCAATCACGTGACCACGGGGACACTGCGACGGCCGCAACTATGAGTACTAGCTATAAGTCTCCCCATTCAGCACCATCGTAACTTTGAACAATCACTGAATAAATGGGCATTAACCATCTCTAGTTTTTTCCTCCTGTTTCCTGACTAAAGAAATTTCATTACCTATTTCAGTTATTGCCAGCTAACAGCTACCATCTTTTTCTCTCCTCATTTTTCCTTCCTTCCATATAGATCAGACTTGAAAACTCTAATGTGTTCATGGAATAGAACTAACAGATTGTGATATTTTCAGCTTTCTGATAATCAGAATTACTTGGTTTTATAGCAGCAGAAACTGATAACTTCAGATATTGGACCTCAGTTCCATCATTGTCAACCAACAAGATGATGGAAATTATTCAACATTTGGAGGGCCCTAGGTGCCCCCTCTCTGAGCTAGTGAAATAAAACACAGAGGTTTTAGATTTTAAGAGGAAAAGGAGGGCAGATTTTAGTAAGACTCAAAGAAACCCTTCATGAATAAATGTAAGTGCCTTCATTCTTGACTCCTGGTGACTCCCTAGACAAATCCATGCAGTTTTCTTGGCAAGATTTTCAGAAATGGTTTGCCATTGCTTTCTTCTTATGGCTGAAAGAGAGTAACTGACCCAAACTCACCCAACTGGCTTCATGCCTAAGTAAGGACTGGAACTCACAGTCTCCTGCTTTCTAGGCTGGTGCTTTGAACCGCTATACCAAATTGGCTTTCAAATGTGTTCTTAAATATATTCAGTGTTAAATGGAAAAGCAGTATATTTTAAGACCATTTTTCTATACCCCATAATTCTGGGCATGTATACTGAAAAGTACTGTCCTATTATATTAAAGGGTACTTTTATTTCCATAGAATAGTGCCTAAAAATGAAATACAAGTTTCAAGAGTGTCTTATTTTTTTTAAAAACGCAAGATAATTAGTTCCTTGGGTATTCAAGCTTAGTCCTGAGAGCCCTTTTATTGCTATTGCAAGTTTCTCAGCATATAGAACTATTTGTACTTTAGAAAGCCAGACGGACTTAGCCAGAAATAATAGGAACTAGTGGAATAATCACATGCTATATTTGCCTCCAAAACAAAGACCCTAAATACACGCCATTTTACTGCTCAGTTCACCTAAAGTTCTAGCTGTGATGGTTTCTTTGTTAGACAGCTAGCTTGCTTGAGTTCCATCAGATTTCTTTTCAGTATGCTTGGGATCAGAGGATCAGGCAGAATGAGTAGGCTACCTCGGGCATCTGCTCTTGTGATCTTAAAAGGCTAGCAGATTGATAGCTATTTGATTTATTTAATTGATTATTATGGTATTTTTATTGTCAGGTAACAAAGACAATGTATTTACAGCATGTTCAATAAGTTGACTATCATTGGATTCTTAGCATGCATGTTGGTTGGGGACAATGGAAATTATAATCCAACACAACCGGATCACTTTGGGCAAGTTGCTGCTGTATACTTTAACTTGCAAGGGGCAGGGAATAGTATTTGCTTTTCCAACTGAGGCAGCAGAATGCCTTTGGATGTTGCTAGATGCTTATAATATATGTCACTGTCCAGTTCTACTTCATTTTCTAAAACTGATTTGCAACCGGTAATTGTCTTTTCAATTCTGTTTGCGTTGAAGATCATTGTTACTTTATACCTTTCTTCTGTGAAAAATTAAGTATGCACAAACATTACCATTTGGCGAAGGCTTTCACGGCTGGCATACGATGGCTGGTGTGGGTCTTCCGGGCTGTGTGGCCGTGTTCTTGAAGTTTTGTTTCCTAACAAAGTATTTCTGCCCTATATCAAAGGGGTCACAGACCGCATGGGAAAACTGATG